CCAAGGTCTGAAGGCGAAGTCGTACTGCTGACTGTACAGAGGTGTGACAGCAGTGAGGTGTTTCCTTCAGACAACCAGCATGACAGCGATGCTGTCTTCCCACAAGGAGGGGTGGGGTTAGAAAAGGTCGACCCACGGATATCCGTCTCCGGCGGTAAGGTCTCAACAAGTACGGAGCTAACACAAAAATTGCCCATAAAAAGGTCGTGTGTGACCGACCTCAAGCAGTTGTCCCTTGGGCACTGCGGTCACGCTCCCAGGTCACTAAGACCACTTCTAATCCGATTTCCTTCTCAGGTATCTCCAGAAGAACCCTTCCACGGTGTGGGCAACCGGGAAGTGATAACCGCCCTCATACCTCTAACAGCACTCAAGACCACTGGATAATAATAAGACAGATGAAACAAATACATCTTGGTTCATACTTTATGTACTCTGAAATACAGCCATCTGTATATTTTTCAAACATTTAGATGACCTTAAAATCTGAAGGTGTACTTAAAAATATATTGAAACAAATCTCCGACAAGCCTTTGCTTTCAAAAGTCATCCAAATAATGTTCGTCACATTCCGTTGAAGAATCGAAATAAATCATTAAAAAGCTGCATATTTTATTTTCATAGTAGCTAAGACTCATATTTTTCTCTATGTCTCTAATCGGTGTGAAGTCAACCTGTAAGTAGCATTTTAACAACTACAAAAAATAATTGATTTAAAAATTTTGTAACATTTATTGCCCAAATAGGCTACAAGACAAAATATTAGATGATTCACTTAAATGTTTGCTGGTCTGAAAATAGTTTTGACTTAAGACTATTAGTTGACAAAAGTGGCCTACGTAATCGCTGGATTAAAAACAAGAACATTGTAGATTATTTTAGAACATATACTTCTTTCTAATAATCGACTGTTCTCCATAAAGTGGTATCAATGAAAGAAATTTATCAAAACACATTTAAGTACAAGTTTTTCATAATGATAGTAAAGTAAAAAGAAGTCAAAACTTGTTTAGTTATGAATTTTTATAGATCAGTAAATAATTTATCAAGCTAACCACCGAAAAATCTCTCCGTCAAATACAATGACAATTAAGCATAACTATAGATTTACTCATCATTACCATAATATCCATTATTTATCAATATATTTTGAAACATAATAAAGTCAACTAATCAGTATGAAAATATAAAAATTTACAATACAAAAATACTGGATCAATAATTCTATTTATACATTTAACTACTTGGTCAAAGTTTCCTCAACATGGATGAAAATACTCAGAATACTAATTAATTATAAGGACATAAGGTGAACTCTTCGGGTTGTCGCTGAATAGTTTAATTAATAATACAGTTTCACGTATTAAAATAAAATTAATTTATAGAATTTAGTCAATAATGAATCATTCACCTTATAAATAAAGATTACATGCGGGTTTTACATGGCACTTTCAATTCAAAATATACATTCATTGTAATTATAAATGATGTATTTTAATTGACAACAAAATAATATAACTTAGTGAAAGAATAAATATCAGGCAAATTCAAATTTTAATTTAATCGGAACTTAAGGATATACAATAAATTAGTAGCAGTAGTAGTAATTCTAGTGTATGGAACAGAACACGAGTAGGGGACAATCGAATGTATTTGACATAAAATTACAGGATTTGTTAATAAAATATAACAATCAAATAGTGAGTACGTAATTTGCTAAATGTCCATCAATTGTCTCATAATGACTCAGACTTTATTGTTTTTGCATTTTCATACAGATCGCATTCTTTTTCTATTCTTCACTGTTCGATCGTCTTGACTCTCTGCTTCCAGAAATTCTGTTCACCAATAATGTCATATACTACTTATGTCGATATAAGTAGCACATACTACAGTAGTAATAGTAATTATTGTAACATTTACCAGACACACTATTCTTTATCATCGAAATTGGTTAATAAATTAAAAAACAAACGAAAATGGTTTGTATATGGTAATTCTATCTCTCTTGTAATCAATGGACATTAGATAATCTAAGTATATTTATTCCTTCATTACGTAATTTTAAAAGCGATTAAATGAAGTGGTATTACAAACAATTTTTTTCAACTAACTTGGTTCTAAGAATGAATGATATTTAATTATCAAAATAATTGAATAATAATGAACTATGATTATAACAATTTCATCTTTTTTTGATCGAGTTCATGTGGACATAAATGTTACCAACATTTTATGCTACCCATAAGTAAAACATTACGTAATTTAGAAAAAAAGTTTCTTCATTAGGTTCTACATAAATAACACGTTTAAAATATATCCATTATTATACGGAAAAATGGATAGTGGCTAGCAGTGGGATCCAGAACGCGCGTTTCTTCCTATTTGGGACACGTCAGCTGGATATACCTGCACCTTAGAGTAATACTTGTGAATTAAAGCTATATCGAGGCAATACGCACAGCATGCACATATGCCGATAAAAGACTGATCAATTACAGTCTTAAACATCAATGAGAAGATTCAAACAAACAATAACAAATGAATTTATATCCATTATTGTTTTTTTAACAAACTCATATACTGAATAAGTAAAAATCTAGTGTTAATTTCATATACATTTCATAAATTCTTTTCAAATGATCTGCTTAAATGGCTTTAAACTTCCATAACTCAAAGAAATTACACAACATTCCAGTTGTATAATTCGGTCTTTTAAGAGAAATGTTACATCATTTCGTTTTGTAAATAAAATGTACCATATGTTTTTTACTTATTTATATGAAAACGAATAATTGTATCAGTAAGAACATATGTTCTTATTCCTAGAACTAAGTTATATCCGAGAAACAACAGAGTTTACGAACTTCTGTAGTGAGCGAGAACACCATTGGGAAGAACCAGATGTAATTGAACACAAAAGTACAGAATCTTTTTGGTAAAATCTGTGAACCACACAGTAAATAATTCATTTCCGAAATGTCAATCAATTGTTGCATACTTGATTGTTCCTTCGTTTCTACACCAATCATTCTCTGTTCTCGTTCTCTTCTCTTCGATTTTCTTGACCTTTTTTCTCCAGGCAATTCACTTTTAATTGATCATACATAGTACTTATATCTGTCAACATCAGTAGACCACGCTACATTTCATGTTTGCAGTTGGCTCTTTAGTATCGTCCAGTAAGTAATTTGTACTTCAGGATTGGCACGTCATTCAAATGATTGAATTACGCAAGGACTTTAATCGATATCTTTATTATTATAGTGGTGAATTTTTATCATCAATGTTTATTGCCAGATCGAATAGCTTAAAAATTTTATTTACATAAACAACTGCATCTTACAGGAATACTGTTCTAGTGTGTATATGCCATTATTTGTATGCATGATTAATGGTTAAAAAACTTGTTTATTTTCTTGGTTAATGATAAAATATCACTTTACTTCTGAATACGTACATCCTTGAAGTTAATAGAAAACAATGGTCAGATTAACAAGTTATGGTTAACTCAAACATCCTACATAAATTACGGTAAATTGAGTGTCTAACTTTATGAAGATTACTAATTGGATTACCCCAAAGAATACTCTAGATCGATTCACATTGACGAATCAAATAGAATCGAATGTCCAATGTCTATCTAGTATAGAAAGAATAATATAACCCGAACTGTTATCTGGTTGATTAATGTAGTAATTACTAAGAAAAAGTGCATTAAAAATATCAACATTTCTTCAATACATTTAACTTAATGATTCATTCACTAAACCATTTTAGAGTATTTTGATTTATTTTTCAGTTATTTGATTTAAGAAAATAATAGTTTTTAGTTGAAAAATAAGATTTTGAAATTGTCTAAAACATTGTTTCGCCGGAAACAGTACATTTAATTCACAAGTAATCATTTATCGAAGAATAACAAAAACATCAGTTCAAATTTACCCTTTATTGGAATACATGTCAAGAAGTACTGTGCTAATTGAGTATATCTCTATTATTTTTTTTTGTAGAGATTAGTTTTGTTTTTACATTGTGTTCATCATAGATTGAGACTAAATGGGGTATAAAGTAAAAAAGTATATGATTGGACTTCTTCGTGGTTCTTATTCAGGATCTCTTCAAGGATCAAAACTAAAAACGACAGATCTAGTTGCTAACGTTTGACACCTAAACCGCTGATTTCAAATCCAATTATTTTAACTGTTGAATCGTAAATATACACAACTTTTTCGCAATGATAATCCATAATAATCTAGTAGCAGACTAGCAAAATGGTGAAAAACATAGACGTGTTATTCTAATCAGGAGTTTGGAAATAAAGTACTTAAGACGATGAATATAAATTAAAGTACTAATGGGGTTGGATAAAGTCTAACACTGTCACGAGAAAGCAGTGAATAGGACTTTACTGGCGATGGCTGTATACGCGTGGCTATGTGAGAGCATTTCGAGAGGGAGAGCGAACTCTTCTCATTCTTAGCCACACTACGGTATTCGAGTCCAGTTTTCCCATATCTAATTCGTCAGTTGGTCCACCTAGTTGATGTGCTTAAAGGACCACCTTCGCCATCTCGTCATTTTGTAGGACAATGAAGGAGGTTGCTTCACAATGACTTTTAGATCTAATGGATTCATGATTTACACCGAATTCTGCATCCTCCTCTTTCAAATTTTAGTTTCATTTATATTATCTATGTATAATGCTGGCTGGCACTATACAAACGTACACTGGTCACTATAAGTAAGATATACATTATGAGCATAAATGGATGGTGGCTAGTAGTGGAGTCCAGGACGCGCCTCTCATCTTATTTGAGACTCGCCATCTGAATGTACCACATCCCAGAATTGATGTTCATTCGGAAACTCGAATTAAGTATCTTTCAGGTCCCAAATAGGACAATTCTACTGCATGCTTCCACCTATCTCTGTTTATAATTTCAATTATTGTTACTTCTTAGTTTAACATTGATTATTTGTAGTCAAAAAAACAATGCTTTCACCAATATTTATCTATTTATTAATCTAATCACATTGACAATGCTGAAATTTTATTAACTGGACGTAAATATAAAATATTTTGGTTATTATTACTACTATAATTAGTATTGGTATAAGTAGTATTAGTAGTAGTGTTGTGTATCGTACTTACAACAGACATAAGTATCATGTAACATCAATTGAAAGTGGAAAACCTGGCAGCAGTAGGCTAAGATCATGTTGAAGAGAATAGAAGGGAAAATAGGAAGAAATTGTGAACTTTAAAATCATACAGAATGTGAAGGACAAGCAACAGAAAGTTACAAATGAAGTTTCAAGTGTATGGTTTTCATATTTTACGAAGAGATTCTGTAGTGTTGGGTTTTGATACGTTGGTTGTCTCCACCTGTGTTCTCGTTCACAATATTATTAGTAAGAGTAGCAGTAGTAGTAATGTAGTGTGCTACTGATGTCGAAAGATATAAGTAGTATGTGTGATCAATCGAAAGTAAAATACTTGAAGGCAGAAGGTTAAGAAGAATAAAGAAAAACGAACGAAAACAGAAAATGATTGGTGTGGAAATGAAGGAACGTGAAGTCTGAGATGATTGACTGACATTTGCAAAAGGAACAGTCAAATTTGAGACAATTGATTGACATTTTGCAAATTAAGTATATTTACTGTATGGTTCTCAGATTCTACTAAGACGTTCTTTAATTTCGTACTCAAATACATTAGACTGCCCCCACTGGTGTTCTCGTTCATTACAGCAATAGTAATAATAATAGTAGAATTGGTTCATGTGGTGTTGAAAACTGTCGATAAGCAAAATATAAATTGTATGATTGATAAATAAAAGATTTTGGTGAGAAGACATATCAAGTTAAATAGCGAAATGTAATTCACATGATAGTTGATCTGATTAATACATTTAAAATAGTAGATTCGTTTTGCTTCTGTTGAAAATATTACTCTTGTAATTTTTTCATTCAGAAATAGTTCCGTTTCTCTCGAACATATAAATGGAGAGAAATTGACGTTGAAGATCAAGTTAAGTATTTCAGAGACATTAGTTAGGTTGATGAGAGATTTTTTGTGATAAAACTATGTATTAGTATTTTTTTTATTTATTTTGACTGTTTAATATTTCATGTCTGAAATGTAAAATATTTCACTACTGAATTATAAATTAAATCTGTAAATTATTACAGGTAAAATAATGTAACTCAAATGTTTTGTTCTGCTTTATAAATACAAGTGATATCTACTCCCAGATAGATGTTTATGTACTTTTATTGATTTTCTGATATGCTTCAATTATTTTAGTCCATAATGTATATTCATTGAAAGTCAAGTGAAAATATAATCAACCCTAGTGAAGGTTACTCAACAGAAATTTATGTAATAGACATTTGTAGTGAAAAAATCTTAAGAATTATCAAGAATTAATTTGATTATAAACATTGAGATATTTAGTCGTATTACCTCATAAAAGGTTAAACAGATATCGCTTAATTCTTCGTTAAATCTTTAAAAAATTCAGTGAAATACGATACTTTCCGATGCATAACACACAATATGACCATATACAAGATACTTTCGTTTCCATCTCATTAAAAATATCATAAACATTCAGTCAAGTCAGTGTTCAATACAGATAGTCGATTATTTTAATCTCTATTCGCTGATGCTTCTCAGTCTACGTTTTGACCTCATATATCAGTTGTTATATTTGGTAGTTTATATGTGGCTTAAATTTTCGACGTCAGTCTAAAGTAATTTTACCTAAAATAAATTTATAACATTACTCATGTCTACATTTTGCAGAAAAAAAACCTAATTTAGGTATGTGTATTATGTGTTATATTTGTCAATATTCACAAGTTGAAGGTAAATTTTTAGGAATAACTGTGGCATGATATTATCTATACTACTCCATAAATAATCAATAGTATAGGGACGAGAATCACTTTTAGGTTAAATGCAGAATGCAGTAGTATTATAAAAAACATGTTGAAAATGTTCTAATATTTGGCGATTCAAACCACCACGAATGCTTATCTGGCTGATATTGAATGTCAGTCTTCAATCCATAGGTCTAATTTTGTCATGAAAATCAAAACAATAAATAAAACCTTTTCTCACCTGATAGTTATCGATATTAAACGAGTTGTTTAGCACAATTGTTTAAAGGAAAGGTCAATAGTGTTCAGCCAAAATATGCAAGCAAGTATTCATTCAGTATACCGGGTAGTATTTTCAGCTGAATAATGAACTAAATTGGATAGTATCATCTCAATATATCATTAGCTCACATTTTACTAGTTCGACCGAATGAACAGATGTATTTCTAAAATCCGACTGCTGGGAAAACGTACAAAAACTTTCAGTGTAAAGCTTTTATCATCTAAGATGTCTTCCAACTGATCGCCTATACATTTCTAGGTTGGGATCTTAGTTACTTCAAGAACTGTTGACGACATAATAAAGGGTCAAATATCCAAGGTTGTGGATGAGTTTATTTCAAGCAGACATCAGTAACAGACCAATCTCAAGAACTGCACGAAGATGCGATTGCTAGAAGAAATGTGGGGAATTCTCATTCAATTCTGATCCATACAACGACAGGAAATGTGCAATTGTTAAGAATCTAAAGATGTCTAGAAGTGTACAAAGCGAAGCTACTACATGTTTACTAGCGATCACCTCATCAAAGGTATGTAAAATATACGAGTACGATTGAATAATTGTCATCTAAAGTCGACTGATACCAATAATTATGAAGATAAATACAAACCGGGAACTAACATTTGGTGATTATAATAAGTGCAACAAATAACATAAATTACCGATTAATAGCTAAGCGGAGATTTATCAATCAACCAGTTCATAAAAACAAATGCAAATATCTGTGTTCTTGTTACGTATCTTATGCAAAATGTGAACACGTGCAAGTTCCGGGACACTTGTGCTATCAAACAACTGACTTTTACAAGTGTGCGACGAGATTACCTTACAAAAACGTAAATGTCTGTTCTTCAGACGTACCAATTTATTGTAAAAACTGTACTGACAGAAAAAGCAACGTTGACAAGAATGAACTATATTTTTACAAATTTACGACGGGAAATCCTTTTTTTTCGTTTTAACTTCATTTGGGTGATGCTACTATCGTTGAAGTTCCGTTTGCGTAAAATTTTGTCGACTTCATCTGATGTCAAAGGAAGATCATCTGCAATTTGTGAAACGAGTTCTTTCGGTAATCTTTTAAGTGATTTTTGAGACTTTTTAGGTTGACTAACGATTGGCGCACCATCCTCTGTGTTTTTTAGTTTCTTAATAAGTGTATGAGATCTTCGGTGAACAGCTTTAGGAAGACTCGATAATTTTTCACTTATTGTAGTTAAAGGTGCTTCTGTTTCATCATAGTACAAAGGAATGGAGATACCTGAGCTTTGAATGTAAATAGAACGGATATTTGCCATACCACCACCTGGCCATTCTGAACAGATTTTTTCACACTAAAAAGATAAACAGGAAACTTAAAAGACTGATGTTTTAAATTAGTGATTGCATGGAAACAATAAAAATGTTAGTTTTCATAATAGTCACACTGATTATAGAACTATTGGGAACTTAGATAGTAATTCATTGAGTAATTCATACACTCAGTATTTCATGATCCAACGAAAGTCCTTTTAGCTAGTGATACGTAGTCGGAATCCATTATTAAATCCTCTATAATTTGTCAGCTAAAAACATTTTGTCATTGTGGGCTGAAATCAGATAAGGAACTGTTAAAAATCAGGAACCGGCCCTGGCACGGCCAAGGGTGGGAAGAGTTCTCTCCCTCTAAATGCTCTCACATAGACACGGGTATACAACCACTGCCAGAGAAGTCCTACCCACTTCCTTTTCGTGACAGAGGTTCTGTTTACGAAATTGAGAGGACGAAAAGCGAATGTCCAGCGTTTTAACCGGGTTGGTGGATATGGAGGATCCATTTAGGGAAGTTGGAAAATCCTGACTTCAAATCAATGGTGGACATGGGCTCCAGGGTCCTAAGGGCATAAAAGACGTATGAACCTATTATTGGTCACATGGTACCATGAAATTTCATTTCCTGACGTTGTGGATTGGACCTTTAGGTCAAAGGCTTTGAATGTGGCCTCCTAAGAAAACCACCTGTTTCGATTTGGGCACCCGGGCAGTATTCCAGCCCTCATACAAACCAAATGATCATTACTACCGGAAAAATTATTCTTGCTTCAACTCGCATTCAGATAAACTCCACTCACAACCATTTGATAATATTCGTTCTTATCGCTTTTATACTACGTCAATTATGCATTCCCCTTTTTTCTCATTTTGCACATTTTCTTTTTCAATTTATACAGTGGCTCGCCTATGGTGGATACTCTGTCCTATCTAAGCGATCCCAAGTCAGTGACTGGTCGAAAAATGAATGCTACCACCGACTACGAATACTGGGAGTCTTTCTGAAACCACGTGCACCATTCGAACTGGCTGCCTTCAACGTCCGCACATTAATGCAGATCGAACAACAGATAGGGTTGGTTATGTCTTTACGAAGTCTTAATATCGATGTCTGTTGTCAATTCGAGACTCGTATTCAAGACTCTAGTGAAGTACTACAAATTCGCTCTCCATTTGTCGCCTCGAAAAGCTTACTTCACGTTCGTTGCGCTAGAGTTGAGGCAGCATTGACCAATTGAATTCCCAGTTGGTTATACACTGATAGACTAGAAAACTTCACCAAAGTGAGTCGGTGTACGAAACGATTTTTTTGAACATCTACGCCTACGCCCCGACAGATTGAAGCTCGGATCCTATCAATGATGAGTTCTACCACTAATTATGTGTTCCTCTACGGAAAGTGTCCGACATATACTGTTGTATTGACCGAAGACTTAAATGGAAAGGTCGGGCATCTAGGCACAGAAGTCGTTTGGATGGCTGATTGGGACTTGTTGGTCGCAGGTTAGATAACGGTGACCATCTACTGAAACCGTGAGCAAACTACAACCTGTTTCTGGCTAGCACTAAATACCGGCACAGACATCGCCGATGTGCTACCTGGCATCCTTCCTCTGCATCGTAAGCCTGAACTCAGACTGATCACATTGCAATCACCTATCGCTGGCGTGGTTGTGTACAAGCCTGCCGCTCCTTTTGAAGTAATTATCTGGACCCTAATCATGCAATGAAATTGGACAAAACTTGCGTAAGCACCAAGAAGCCTGGTTTTCAGAGCGTGCTAATGAGCTGGAAGCAGCAGTTGCATCTGGTAACTGCCGGGAACTTTCAACTCATCAAAGCCACTGGCAGCAAGAAGTCTGGTGTGAGCGAGACAATCTATGAGGATGACGGAATGCCAATCACTAACATCCATCGACGTCTTGGACGATGGGCAGAATTCTTCGAACAGCAGTTCAATTGTCCTGCTGCTCCGGCAACATCGATCAGATTGTCCTACCATCTATGGTCTGTGACGACTGATCCACTTAACAAGACGGAAGTCCACAAGGAACTGCAACTCTTGGAGCACCACAAATCACCAGGCCCAGATGACTTACCTCTTGGCTTTTACAAAGATCGTGGTGACTTTCTGGTCAAGGAACTGAGTGAGTTGTTTACAAAGGTCTGACAATTAGAGAGTGTTTCAGCATCGTGGAATAAGTCAGTAGCTGTTCCTATCTTTAAAAAGGGTTTACATCGTTTCTGCAACAACTATTGGAGTCCAAACTATTGACTTCCATCGTACTTCGTAGATTGTTCAAAACCCGAGAAAGATTGACTCCCGAGGAGCATATTGGTTTCCGTTCTGGTCGAGGATGTGTTGATCATATCTTCACCCTCCCCTAAATCTTAGAACACCGTCATACTCATCAAAGGCCAACAATTGTAGTGTTTCTTGAAATTAGGGCTGCCTTTGATTCGTTGGACAGGACTGTTGAAGATTGGTGTGAAGAAGTTTATTAACATCATAAAAGCCCTATATACAAACACCTCAGGCAGAAAGAAAGCATACAACCACCTCTCTCCGTTGTTCCATTCAAGCAGTGGGGTTAGACAGGGTTGTCTAATCTCACCATTCCTCTACAACTTTGCTACCGATGACGTTCTGGGAACGGCTTTGGTGGATGTAGGTAGTGTTGGTGTGGATCTGTTGCCTGGATAAAACTCTCAACCTTAAGTATGTGCGATTATACCCGAACCATGCCATCCGCACTTAATCAGTTGGCATATTAATGTCCGTAGGTATGGTATGTGCTTTGCACCTTCTAAGTGCAAGGTACTTTATCAAGACTGGCAGGACCCTGAACCTACACTCACCCTGGGTAGTGAACACAAAGTAGTCGAGAAGTTCATGAAGCTGGTAGTTGCATAAGTGCTGGTGGTGGTGCGAGTGATGAGATCAATTTGTGTATAGTAAAAGCCAGAGCGGCTTATGCTAATCTGGACCATCTTTGGCGTTTTCGTGATGCCAGTCTAGCTGTAAAATGTCAGATCTACAACGCGTCGTTAAGAGCAGTTTCGCCCTATGTTTGTAAAACATGGTTTTTCTGAGTTGAAGATGTTGGACGACTACCTGTGTTTGATCACCGTTGTCTCCGAAGGATTGCTGGCATCCAGCGGTAAGGCCATCTTAGTAATACACAGGTTCGATATTGTGTGTCCAGGCACAGCGACGATAATTCAATTAGTCATTATCCTGAGACATTGACTTTGGTGCCTTAAATATGTCCCACGAATGTTGTCCCAGAGAACTCTATGTCGTGCATTATTTTTCGACACTGGAACTGGTTGAAAAGCGTGAGGAGGCGGTCAGTGTATGACATGATGTCACGGTACGAAAAAAAGCTGCATAGGATTGGCTTCTATTGGACCTTTACGACTCCGTGATTGGGTTTCTAGAGATGGTGCAACACAGTATCTAGAGACGTTATTAGATATGGCTCAGAATAAAAGCAAGTGTCGATGCTGCCATAACTTTCTTTTACTTTCATAAAAATGAACGTAACTTTTTTGATTGAAAGAATACTTTCTGGTTATACTTTTGTTAACTGAACTGCTTCTCCCATTAGTATTATTATTATTAATTCACTCTAATACACTAATTTCTGTTCGTTGTTGTTCTTTTTTATTATACGCACTTTATCTATTCACAAACTCATCGTTATTGTGTGGGGCATATGTATTTGGTGCCCCTTGTACTAATGTTTGTGTTCAAATAAATAAATAAATGATTGATAAGATGTAAGACTACTGAGTTGTACTACGGCGTAAAACAAGCCATTATAATTTGTGGACAAAATCAACTAATATGATTTTGAACCCAGTCCATAAGGCATCTTATTTGACGCTAAATATACGTTGAGTCGTTCTAACCTGTACTGGTAACCTGAAATTTTGTTCACCACAAAAGCTTTTGTAACGTTTGATTATTTTAGTTGTCTTGGTTGGGGTGACCGAATGACTGAGTTGCACCGAATTAAAGACCCCATAAACAGTGAGCTGTTCCAATTCACATATGGAACTTTATGAAGGAAATTATTTTGACCCCCTCCTCATTATGTAGGTTCGTTTACTGTTTTTCGGTATGCAACATCTTCGTTAAGACGAACAAATATATACCAGTTATTCAGTGGTCTTTAAGTAACAATACGTTGGTCACTTCAAAAAGGAATACAGAAAGTAACGTGTAAAATAGTAAGGCTTTCGTGAGTACCTACATATCTGGAAACAAACAGGATTATTATTTGTTATTACTACTTAAAAAATTTAGTCATTTCAAGCAGTATACAGATACGACAATCAAGCAACAAGGCATGTCATTATATTCACTTCAAACATATAGGACTTGAAATTTAGAACAGAAATCTAAAAATTACTTACAACTGATATTACATTCTCCTTTATCTCGAATGAAGAGAAAAGATCATCCCCAATTATGAGACTATCGGTTGTTCCATTGCCTCGAATTACGAACAAAGATGTATGTAGTTGCCGTCGGACAGTATCTACAAGATTATTGTTCGAAAATGACGTTGGGATAGGAAATTTCCCTGAAACCTCCTGGTAGAACGCTTTACCCAGTTTGTTTTGTAAACGATGAACAATTCGTTTGTCGGCAAGAAATATATCAAAAGTGGCAGCCAGTCGACGTTTGGCAGCAAAAGTTTGGTAAGCTACTTTTAGTTCCCGCAGAGGTAAAAATGTCACTTCAGGTGCGTCTAAGTGAGAAAGTTCAGACTTTTTCAAATCCATGTTCCAACGCCGTTTCCAAGATTCTGTAGTGCGTTCATAATCATCTTTGCGAAAATCTTTAACTATCAAACAGATAGATAGATTTTTTGAACGATGTGGTAAGTTTACACGAATAATTTTTGGGATGGATAATTTGCTTACTACTACAAGATGTACACTGTTAGGAATTAAGTTTAGACTTTTGAGTTTCCCTTCAGGTTTCTTGAAACTAATATTTGTGATGTTATTTAAATTTTCGTTGATAATATCCATCTAAAAAGGATAGAACTGGGTGATTAATCACTGTATATCAGAACCCAATGAGAAATAACTACTATTATAGCTAGAAATGAAAACCGGCCGTCCAAATTTGTTACGATTACAACTGACAAAAAGCTGAGTGGAAAGACAATTCCACCAAGCTGGTCACGATCACAGATAGTTTAGACTAACGAGGCTGTTCTATCGTCAAAACAGTAAAAGAATTGAAGCAACCAATTTCAAACCAAGAATATTGACTTCAGTAGTTGCATAATCCTTGACGAAGTCCCGAGAACCAAGTAAGAGAAAACCAGACTGTTTCCAGACCTGAACTTAAATTCATTGGTCAAATATTTAGTGTTCTTCCAGTTTTCGCTCACAAGTATGTTCACTGACAATTAACTTGGGTTGTATTCCAAGATCTAGTGCCTGCGTGTAACCATGTTATTCAACCAGTTTTATGACTATCTGAAAAGTGTGCAAAGTACGTTGACCATCAAAAAGCTCTACTCTTACATTTTCAAATGGAAACATGAAACTTTTTTGAACTCGTTGTATTAAAAACGACCATTAAAAATGGATGTTGGCCTGGATAAAATGCTTTGAACTATTACTATTCGAAATGTACTTCAATACATAGAATACGATAACCTGCCATGCGCACAGGGTAGTAAAGGAAATGGCACAAATTAGTACTCTAATCAGTAAAATATGGTGTCAGGAACAAATAAGGTGAAAAAACCACACGCAAAACATGAGACCGACTGTATTAAAAATGGGGTTCTTCGCAAAATTCGGCCCCATGTGCCTCGTTTGAATCCGTTTCTATTCCTGGGTTCAAATATACTGATGGATATCACTGATCAATATATTGCAAGTTCGCACATTTCTATGAGCAGCTCGGTTTTTGAGTGACGTTTTACATACTACGACTAATGCAGATATTTTGGGTTTGGCAGAGTGAGCTGCCTCAAGCACCACTTACTGTAACGAGCTATACGAAAAATGCGCAGTGAAGCAAGCCTTCAATCCAATATCTAATATCTTTTTCAGGAGCTCGTATAACCAACTGATCTGTTTACGCTCATTTCTTATTGTGTCATTAAGACCCCAGGCATTTGGTAAGGTTCATTGAGGTTATTCTAACCACTCGACTTGACTAATTCTAGTCAGTGTGGTAGTCATTTGTGAATTGATATATCTTGTAATTTGAGTGAGTGCATTCACCTCAGGGAAGTAGTGTTTATGGGTTCCATCTTCTATTTCATTGATAGGCAAAAGGTTTGGTCAGTTACAGTTTTAAAATAATAAATTGGTAATTCCAGTGCTAAGAGAAGACCCTTGTCTCAAGAACAAATACATAAGTTAATTAATTAGTGATACAGACATTGTGAGAAAACTGAATCAGAAGAATAACAGTTGAAATGGAGATGACAATAAGCGAGTTGGTAAGCGGTTCCTGACGTATGGTTACGATAAATATGGTTAATTATGAAATACGCATCAAACACAGCTAGTTCAAGAGGGATATGTTAATCCATGGGTGAGTAAATGTTCGTTAATTCGGGAGGGAAAGCATTCCAAATGAGTGATACTCTTAATAGGAAAAAGTAGGAGCTCCTCAATGTACAATCCTTTTAACGTTTAGAGTTGATGTTTTGCCAGTATGTTCGTTTTGGGGTGGTTTATCGTACTTCATATGTTGTATGTCATCATAAGATCACCTCGTATTCTCCTAAGGCTCAGCGAGAATAATCCCTAGTGTTAGAGTCTACCCTCGTACGATTTGTATCATAGCCCTATCCCCCAGTCGGTTGCCTGTCCCAGCACATGATCTGAAGAATTATGTCTCTTTTGAAGAGAAAAGGTGCATCGACATTCTGGACGTTAAGATAAGTCTGTGCATGTGTTTTGAACAGTGGGAGGAACGACTCTGGGGTGACTGCACCACGTTGTCCACGGTCAAAGTGGAAGGATGAACCAGACTTAACTGGATCACCTATATTGTTCAAGCTGGTGTTTAAGCTCTTCCTAATCACAAGCTCAAGATCACACTCTAAGGAGACAATCCGAATAGAATTTCGATTGGATGTGTAGATGCTTCATCTCAAATGAGACAGAACTGTTATAACATAATACTTCGAAGAGTTACGTCTTAACCCATTGTTAACTGCCCATTCCTCGATTATCGTAAGGTCCTTTTGAGGTTTAAGTGAATCCTTTCGTATTTTACAGACCTGATTTTCGCGTCATCTGCATAGAATAGTGCCGTTGGGTTAATTTCATCTAACAGGTCATCATTAAAGATCAAGAGCGGGAGTGGACCTAACATTTTGAGACTCACTAACGTGCTTGCATTCCATTTACTTTGGTACGGAGCATTCTTTCCTTTAGGTAATTTCGATGTCAGGATAAGATTGGGTCAGTAAAGCCAATCTTTGCAATTTTCGATAAGACAAGTATATGAGATGCTGCACCAAAGACTTTCCTGAAATTAAGAGATATTATGTGAACTGGTATCTTTTGGTCCTAGAATGTTGTCCAACTGTTCCATGATATGAGAAGACTGAATTGACATGACCTACCGTTACTAAACTTGTGTTGAGGTTCCTGGAGAGTGTTGCTTTCACTCATAGACACCTCATTTGTTCATTTTCCAGTACGATAATCCACCACATTCTTTGCGAATTGACAGCTTCCTCGCGAACCGAAAGTGGCTACTGTACAGGAGGAAATAAATGGGACCAAATTTCTGAGATTTCTCACTCTGTCAGTAGGGTATGAAACCTGACAGAAGTTACACATGTAAGACATGACCTAGGTTAGTACTGGTGCACTTATCTATGCTATTAAAGCAATAAACCTTATTCAATAACGTGGAGTTGCCATGACAAAACTACAAAGTTACAAGGCACCTTATATTAAATTGTAATTCATCTGAAGCATATTGCAAAAATGTGGTTCATTTTTTAGGATTCTGCTGGGAAAGACTTGTGAAAATTCTAAGAAAAGGGAATTAATCAGCCGTCACATTATCAATCATCCCATGTTGAACACGTAGCCTATCAATCAAATTTCCCTCCACAAATCAACAAATAAATCCGAGAGCTGCTATAGCTTAAAAAACATGCTTAGGACTTGTGCTTAACAGCGATTCGCGAATTATTTCAATTGGAATACTGAAAAATCGGGAATACATATGTAGTAAAGCAGTAGCTAGATTCCGCACTATTTACGAAAGGCATTCGGTATACGATTGATGTACATGATCAAAATGATAGTTTTAACAAGAAAGCGTAGAAGTTGAGTTACCCATTTTTGTTGCGCAGGTATCCTGATAAACTGCTCGTGATCACACTGCTAAGATACCAGACAAAGGAGCAGTGCATGCGACTAAGGAAGCTCTTCTTTAATAACTTATTCACCTTGAACTTGTTAAGTCACAGGGCACTGGTGGGTTATATGAACGACTGCTGTGATTTTTTCTGGACATTATTTCACAATCACTTACAGTTCTGTGCAACATGTCGCTTTCTCAAACTCAACTTCCTGGGAATCGGAATAGCGCTATCACTAGCCCTTTGTTCGTGTATAGAAAATAACACATCATGTCTGACTACCGACCCTTCAGTCTAACTAGTAGTTGTGATATTTGAGAAAATAAATCCCGATATGTTACCAAATCATACGGAACCATACAATCTGTCAACCTCTTGAGCAATACGGGTTTGGGAATAAAAATTCACGCTACATTACTTAATGACTGCGAGAGAGTACCGGACACTAGACCAAGATACTGGCTCGTCTGTTGATGTGAAATTCATAGGTTTCAGCAAAACATATGATGTGCTATCTCAGTAAGGATCTGTGCAGAATCTCTCAGGTTTTGGAACAACAGTTACAAAACAAGAGTAAATGAGAAACTTACAGGGGCCGGAGATGATCAGAGAAAGTGAGACAGAACCTGAATGGAAACGGATTACAATTGGTATACACCAAAGCACCATCTTACTTACTTACTTACTTACTTACTTACTTACTTACTTACTTACGCCTATTACTCCTCGTGAAGGAGCATAGGCCGCTCACCAGCATTCTCCATCCAACCCTGTCCTGGGCAATCCTTTCTAGCTGCGTCCAGTTGTAATTCATCGTTTTCATATCTGCTTCTATTATCCGACGCAATGTGTTCTTTGGCCTTCCTCTTTTCAGCTTCCCTTCAGGATTACAAGTCAGGGCTTGCCTCGTGATCCAGTTTGACGATTTGCATAGTGTATGTCCTATCCATTTCCATCATCTTTTCCCAATTTCTTCTTCAGCTGGAAGCTGGTTTGTTCTCTCCCACAAAAGGCTGTTGCTGATGGTATCAGGCCAATGGATGTTGAGTATCCTGAGCAAACAGCTATTTATAAATACTTGTACCTTCTTGATGGTGGTTGTTGTAGTTCTCCAAGTTTCAGCTCCGTACGGTAGAACTGCCTTGACGTTGGTATTGAAGATTCTCACTTTGATATTGGTTGAAAGTTGTTTTGAGTTCCATATGTTCTTTAACTGTAGGAATGCTGTCCTTGCTTTGCCAATCCTTGCCTTTACGTCTGCATCTGAACCTCCTTGTTCATCGATGATGCTTCCCAGGTATGTGAACGACTCTACATTTTCCAGAGTTTCGCCATCAAGAGTGATTGGGTTGTTGTTTTCCGCTTTGAATTTGAGGACTTTGGTTTTCCCTTCGTGTATGCTGAGGCCTACTGATGCAGAGACTGCTGCTACACTGGCTGTCTTCATCTGCATCTGTTCGTGTGTACGTGATAGGAGGGCTAGGTCATCTGCTAAGTCCAAATCGTCTAATTGATTTTGAGCTGTCCATTGTATTCCGTGTTTTCCTTCAGATGTCGAGGTCTTCATAATCCAGTCGACCACCAGAAGAAAGAGGAAGGGAGAGAGTAAACAGCCTTGTCTGACTCCGGTCCTTACTTGTAACGCATCTGTCAGCTGTCCTCCATGCACGACTTTGCACTGTAGTCCGTCGTATGAGTTCCGGATAATGTTGACAATCTTCTCAGGAACTCCGTAGTGTCTAAGAAGTTTCCATAATGTCCTCCTATCTACACTGTCGAATGCTCTATCATAATCAATGAAGTTGATGTATAATGATGAGTTCCACTCAACTGATTGTTCGACGATGATCCGTAGTGTTGTAATTTGGTCTGTGCATGATCGATCCTTACGGAATCCAGCTTGTTGATCTCGAAGTTGGGCGTCTACTGCATCCTTCATGCAGTTCAGCAACACTCTGTTGAAGACCTTCCCTGGTATTGACAGCAGTGTAATGCCTCTATAGTTTTCACATTTGCTCAGATCTCCTTTCTTTGGACGAGGTGCCCTTCTTTCCAGTCCATCGGCACTTGTTCCTCCTCCCAAATCTTTTTGAATAGAAGATAAAGCATGTTTGTAGTTGCTTCAATGTCTGACTTCAGTGCTTCAGCTGGTATGTTGTCCGGACCCGCTGCTTTCCCGTTCTTGATTTGTCTGATGGCCAATCTGATTTCTTCTGTCTTTGGTGGGTTGACGTCTATGGGAAGATCTGTGTGTGCCGCTTCGATGTCCGGTGGATTCATTAGAGCCGGCCTATTCAGGAGTTCCTCGAAGTATTCTACCCATCTGTTCCGCTGTTTTTGAATTTCGGTGATTGGCTGAAAGCACCATCTTAGGTTCTCTATAATTTGCTCATCCACGTCAGTGAATCGCAAAGTCTGGTCAGGTCGTTGACACTGTTGGTCGCAAACAATGTCAAAGCTGGAGTGAGCAAAGTAGTAGGGCTGGTCAACTGGACATCGCGGATCATACGTACATTGGAGGCAGAAACCTACTGATGCTCAGTTCTTCAACCTCATTGAAAATCTGGGATTATTCGAAAATGTGAAGTCGGCAACTCGTTGGAGAAGCAGTCAGACACCGTCACGCTTAGACTGAGTATTTACAGATGAAGAATTTTTAATTGACAACCTCTCAATCCTGGCTGTTCTGGGGAAAAGCGATCATGCCATCATAGCCTTTAGTTTTATCAGCAAAACTGAGCTAAGAGAACTGGAACGCTGACTTGGTATAGCGGGAAGTGCAGCACCTAAAAGAGACACTTCTCCTAGTCCGGATATAGTCCATTCTGCTGTACTAAGAGAAGCACCTTCAGTCTTATATTCGCTAAACCGAGGCACACTACCAGAAAAGTGGAAGCTGGCTCACATCGCACCAATTTTCAAGGGAGGTCGACGCTGCGAACCTTCAAGCTAACGACCGGTGGCACTACTCTCTATACCCTCAAGAATTATGCAGTCCCTGATATGCGATGTTATACACGACTACTTACTATCCACGAACTTCGTTCCATTCTAACAGCGTGATTTCAGAAAAGGTCACTCTTGTTTAGTCAACCTGTCGAAGACAAATGTTTTATCAATAAGCTCAAACATTTAGGTATCAAATCACCTTTAACAAATCGGCTCATTTCATATCTAAAGAATAGACATTTTAAGGTTAGGGTTAACTTCAATTTCTGTCAGGCTATGGAATGTCCTGGTGGGGTCTCCAGGGTTCAGTAATAGGCCCTCCTCTTTTCTTGGCTTATACAAACGATCTTCCACAGCAGGTATCGTCAGATTTACCGCTTTTCGCTAATTATGTAAAACTCTGGAGGAAAGTATGCAACCAAGAGTATAAACTGGAACTTCAAAAGGATCTGACTGGACTTCAGGGTTGGCAGATGATAACAGACTTATCGTTAACACTTCAAAGTGTAAAGTAATCCACCTGAAACATGTTACAGACCACAGCTACAACTTAGGTGACTGCCCTCTAAAGGTATCCCAAGTTGGAAAAGATTTAAGAGTGCTGGTGCCCTACCATTTGAAGTCTTACGCTACCTGTGACAAAAATACCTTTCGAGTAAGCCTTGCGCTGGTAACGTTTATGTGCATTTTCGGCCAGCTCGACGAAAGAACTTTCCACATAGTCTTCAAAAGTTTCATTCTTTCCCATTTAGAATACTGAGACACAGTATTTCCTCGGTGAGGCTATAACTTATGGACGACTTTTGAGCGACGCTAGACTGACCTTGAGAGTTTCCACCTAATAACCAGGACCAAATGTGGGTTATAAACCTGTATGAGGAATCATAATTCACAGTTAACGATTAAGGTCAGGAATTAGATTTAGGGTTTTCATCAACTGACGTCAGCTATGATGTCAAAACCCCTGAAGATGCCACAGGTACTTGGAGTTTTACAACGCTTTAACCAGTAACACCTAATATGAATCGTACCCACCGAGTGCAATCAAAAGACAGAAACGAGAAGGTTCGAGGATTTATTTAGTAGGCTATCAAAATATTGAGGATCGACTGATCTAGACTGGTTATCGATTGCAATGGATGTTGTGCACGGCTTTCCCCCCGTGATCTGGTGCGGATGCGTGACCGAGTGCCTCCACATAGGTGAGTCCATTAAAACTAATGTGGTCAACAGAGCTATTTATTTTAGGGATTTATTTACCGCTACACTCTATTTATCCGAATGGATTACTGAATTTTGTGCCAAAATCTGGGGCCCGTCATCTTATGCATGATTGGTTCGTCCATAAATTATAGTCTCGCCATTTCCTCCCTCACTTCAAAAGGATAAGGACATTCTGGAACTCATCTAACGGTCAGCCACAAAATCAGTTCGAGGACTCAAATTCAAGCCTTATGAAGAGTGCCACAAGTCACTAAACCTTTATTCACTAGCGTATAGACGTCTTATAGGCTACCTTTTGATGACTCTCAGCATCCTTAGCACTTCTGAGCGACCCCTTTAACACCTACCTATGCTTAGTTTGAACACAAACATCCAGAAACTGGGGACAAAACTTAGCAAAACGGAATGTAGACACACCTTCTACTCCTTAAGAGTAGTTAAATGCTGGAATTCACTGCAGGATGAGCAAATCCAAGCAACTTATCAGAGGTCTTTTAAGAGAAAACTTGACATATTCCTAAAAACTAAGGACAGTAACTCGCTATAATTTATTAACATTTTTTCTTTTTCCACCTAAGTTCCTACCTGCAGGCATCGGTGATCCACTGCTACAAGATACGGAAGGCCGTTAAGCGAAAGCTTCTATTCCATCCATAATCGTCTGAGCTATTTGAATATATCTTGTCCTTGTAGTTTGGCGGCATTTGAGAATGTCGCGCCTGTTTTTCTATAATCAGATCAAAGAAGTGATTAATCGTTTGCCTCCTCATTATAAGAAAAGATATTTACAGAATCAGCATGAGTTGGCCAATGAAAGAGTGTGCAATTCATCACTACTTAAATACGAAACAGGAATTGCGTATGTTGACTTATTTCTTTGTGCTTACCGTTTTATCTAGGCTTCCTAGTTCATATTTTGATACTCCTATGAAAATTGTCTATCCTCCTGAGTCTCAGAAATGCCTGTGGGGTGGTGAGGGTATTATTCAGGGCTACTGGGAGAAAAAAACACCGAGGCCAAGGTTTGCCAAAATTAGGCCTAATTTTTGAAAGATTTCCCAAGACATGGAGTCCTGTTCTCATGGAAAACGTATTTCATAGTGAGATTTTAGACCGTTGGATGATTATAATAGTGACGGATAGCGCCCTAAGACAAATCGAAAAGGCTAGTGGATTTGATTTCTATATACTCTCGGTTTGTCCATGTATATAAATTATATTGTTTTCTTAGACTCCAGAATCAAAACTTAAAAGTAGGCTTGGGATGCATTTAAAAAGAGATATGTTGGTAACGCTCGCAAAGGCGAAGATGAATGGTAAGATGAAAAAAAGCTGGGAAAAGTACTCTAAATTTATTATACCTGTGAGTCATACTTCACATATTATATATTTTTATTGTGACCATTCGTCAGACGACTTTTATTTACTTATTTTATTTGAACACATAAAAACTTGGTACAAGGGGACACCAGATTCATGTGCCACACAATAATGGGTATGGGAAGAGATAAAGAATGTGTAAGTTGAAAAAAAGGGATGGATGAAGTGAGAATAGAGGCAGATAAGTGACAGTATATTAAAAAAATAATAACAGTAGTAATAGTAAAAATGAGTTTTATCAAGTATGTGTGATATGTCTGAATTATAATTGGAGCAAGCATAGTATTTCGTAAAATAATTTTCATCTATTCAGATTTGTGTGACGGCTGTGATACTGCCCGGGTGCCTGGATCGAAGCAGGTGGCTTCCTTAGGGGACCACAGCCTAAGCCTTCTACCTAAAGGTCTGGCCCACAATTTAGTGGAACATCGTAAAGAGATGCAGTCCCATGGTAGCCGGTGACCAATAATTAGTTCATACGCCATTTGTTTTCTTAGTATCCTGGAGCCCATGTACACCATTGGTTTGAAATCAGGGTTTTCCAACTCCCCTAGGCGGATTTTCCATATCGATCAACTCGGTTAAACCGCCGGAGTTTCGCTTTTCGTCCTCAATTTCGTAAACAACACCCCCGCCGCAAGAAGGCAGTGAGTAGGACTTCGCTGGCAGAGGCTATGTGCGCGGTCATGTGAGAACATTTCGAGAAGGATAGTTGACTCCTCACTCTCTGTCGTGCCAGAGCATTTGGGGGCTCTGAGATGACTTATGAGTCGTTAACCTTTATAGTGGCATCAAAGTCAATGTGCACCTTTTGTACACTACAATACCGTTTCACTAGATGGCTCATTATTTTCAGTACCACCCTAGTCCAAATTCTCAAAAACGTCCAGGCTTTGTCTCTCATTTTGTGTAAGAACAGGTTGTATAATCATCAGTCATTTCAAAGTCCGTCACTGTCCGTAGGTTTACTTTAATGGGTACTCACAACAGAAATGAAAATTACATTATGAATAAAGGGTGTTATGTATCGAATCCAGTTGTTAAGCGCTTATATTACCACTACTAAGTTTGTGGTATATACTTTATCCAAGCTAGTGAGTACTAAACAGTTATCATTTCATATGTAGGAACGGTGAGAGGCCATTCGAAAGCACCACTTGAGTCGACTGTTTTCGAGTAGTATAGCATTGTTTCCCAATTTTTAATGAAAAGGTGGGTTTCCTGACTGTAAGAGGTGTGAATCGTCATTAAGTGCCTCTAAGCAAAAAATCGCAACCTAGAACTATATTTGTAGTGGGTATCAGAAATTTGTTATAGCAAACGCATCCTTTTATATTAAGGAAATTGTTAATCTATTTGGCCGGGCTGTGTAATACCACTAATCACACTGTTAGTATTCATTTCAATATTTGCCGTCAAATATCTTCAGATAGTCATTTTTGTCTTAAATGTTGTGTATGTTTGCTTTGTTGTCCAGTTTTTGAGTTAAGTTTTAGTCATTATTGATCTCGTCAATACATGGATAGTCATTTTGGTTAAATAAGTATTTTTTTGCCTTGTCCAAGTCCAACAGCTAGTCATCTTATGCGTTGGTCTGTTAAGGGGATATATATATATATATATAATCGGTGTATCTTTATACCGACTAACTCTAAAGCGAAATATGAAAAGCAATATTTGTCAAAAATAGGTGTCATTAGATGGACGAAAAATTGGGCCAATCTATAAAAAAAAAACGAAATTCTAGTACATTATACTTCACATCAATGCATTGGTCATATTCAGTAAATCTTTATTCCTGGGCTGCTTCTCAATTTTCATACGAATATTTTCACCAAAACTGAACCACGTTTATCCGCCAATACATTGAGCTACAATGCCAGGATGTTTAGGATATGTTTTTCCCTCTCTAAATGCAAATTGTTGCTTCAGGAATGGCCTTCGTCAACACGTGAACCGAAGATGGGGAGTGAAGTAGTCGAACGCGTCGAAAAATTCACTTATCTTGGAAGTCTGATCGGCCCTAATGGGTTGATGTCTGACAAAATCTCTGCACGGGTTCAAAAAAAACCGTTTGACTTTTGCCAACTTACGCTACCCATGGCAAAGGCGAAATATCCGTCTATCAATTACGTCTGCGAAACGTAGCTATTAAGAGTAGAAGATACTCGTAAGCTACTAGGTTTGATGACACATATCTTTGAAATATTGCTCACATCTTCTGGGATCATCGGGTAAGTAATAGTGATGTTCGACTCAGGGTATTAGGGATTGATGGTAAATCAGCTGATGAGGTTATGCATCTTCGTCGACTGAGATGGTTGGGTCACGTTTCTTATGCCTGAACACTGATTACCGCGGCGCGCAATGCTGACTAATGTTAGGGATGTCTGGGAGTAAGTTAGGGGCGGCCAAACCAAATCGCGGCAGCGGTCTTTAAAGTCACTAACTTCTAGTCTTAGCCATGTTGGTAGACCCAGACTACTTGGTTGGGGTCCGCGTGATTATCGTAACTAATGGTTGGAGATTCTGGGTGACATGACTCAGAACCGATCATAATGGCGTAGGTGCATACACTATTTTTTAAACCGTGAAATTAAAATTGCTTTGTATCTTTCTTTCTATGAACTAATTATTTCTCTCTGTCTCACGTTATATATGCAATCTTTTTTATGCATTACTACCATTGAAGTAACTGCCTCTATGAATTTTGTGTTGATCTTGGTGTGCTAATGAGGTGTGGCAACTTGAACCGATGTATATATGTGTCCTACGTTGTAGCTGACTGACTGGCATACATTAATAACACAGTCATCATTTTTAGCATATCATCTTGGAATTGACGCTGATGAGCATGCTACCTTATTGACTACTTAATCCAGAGTATAGTTTATGATGCAGTCTCACTGGTAGTGTTTTATCCATTCTCGATTTTCGTGAAAAGAGTAAAAATTTTGATTGTTAAACACCGCTCCTATGTTTCGCTTTCTTGTTTTTTTGTGTGATTGTACTGTGAAAGGGGTACACCCGAAATTAATGAAATCTACCATCAGACTATAATATTTTGTATCTTAAAATACATAAAATTCCTAATGTTTGTGGATAGTACCAACACGGTTAGTCCTAATTGTATAAAAGAATAAGATTTATCACTATTTATTCTTTCAATATTCGATTTTATGGTAGGTTGTTCATTCATCTAACAAAAATTACATTCGTTGTTCAGTTAAAGTTGCTTTCCACACCAGACTTGAATCAGAGGAACTATTTAAATTCGGAGTGGACGTAACCCACCCCCATAGAATCAAACTTAAAACTTCCAGAACTGGAATTTAAAATGTTATCCTTACATCACTTATCGAAGACCCAGTGATCCATGCTTACAAATTCAGCCAATTTGCAGTAAAGCATGATCACTGTTTACTACATAATATTTTATGTGTCTGTCTCAATCAAATTTTACTATTGTATACATATTTAGACTTGTTTCTATGGTCACTCTAATCTTAATACTTTTATGTAGTTGGAAGAAGCTGAGTGGATTGGTTTAACACTCGAAGAAGCTGTTAAAAAACAAATGAAAATAGAACATGAAATATCCAGAAGTCAGCTAAAGCCACTAAAATTCAGTCTAGCAGAAAAATTGATTGATAGTCTAAGAAACCCTGTCAAAGATGAGAAAGGTTAGAGATAATTATGTCACCAAGCGTTATATACTATGCAACATTTTGTTTTTCAGAAATTAAGGTTTCCTTGATCTTTATGTAGTTTTATTATTTGGAAAATGCAATTTAAACAACAAGTTAAAATGTCCCAGGCATTTATCATCGTGAACTAACGCAAGTTATAGAACCTTCAAAAATGAAGTAACACTGGACATCTGCTTTACCTCGATTCGAGACTCTTCAACAATTGTAGCAGTAATGCTAATGATAGAAACCAAAACTCATGCAGTTGTTTATCGTCACTAGTTTTTTAGAAAGAATAATGCATGAATATTATTATATTTTCGTGTATTTAAAGATGAAGAGAATACATTAGATAGTTCAGCTTCTTACTTGCTTATGATACTGGCGGGTTTCAGTAAAAGTTTTTAATGGTCATTGTAGAAATCAGATCTTATTTATGTGGTTTATCCTGGATTACTTTCTACCATTCATCGTCTAACCATGTGTTACAGTGTTGAATTGCTTCGGTCAGTGGAATGAATTGTATATTTTAGTCCGCAGTTTTAGTGTAGTCTTGATCAATAAGGTATCGAAAATGTCAGTAGCAAATAGCCTTTTTCTACAGATCTTACATTTTTTAAATATAAATACGTTTACTTATTCTTAAAATATTTGATTAATCAACATCTCTCTCAACTATTTATACTTAGATAAGGATGAAGAAAATCCGTCCAGCTACTCGTCTCGGATTTTCAGTTGATAAACCTTTGACAATGAACAAATATGATATGTCTCTTTTCTCAGAGAAGTTCAGATAACAAGGAATTCTTCATCATCTTGTATCTACTTTGTATGTATAGTCGCTAAAATGATTTTTGAAAAAACCTACTGTTTGCAACTGTTGTTTGGGACTTGAATTGTTTAGTAAATAAATATTTTATTATAAGGTTAGGTAATATTACTAATGTTGTTGTGCAACCGAAATACTTTTTTCTAAAAAGTGTATGTAACCACTGTCTGCTCTACTTTACCTTGTACGGTCTGATCAACATACGGAATTTATGTAACTCATCGTCTGCAAATAATTGAAAGAGGAATTCAATAAACAATTAGTCAACAAACTTCAAACCCACTAGAATGAATGTTTTAACTACATACATCAAGACAAATATTCCGTCCTTATCTCAATTGCATAATATTTAAAGTGTATTTTGGATTATGATTTTAGTCATTACGTTTTCTGTCCAACAAAACTGAGTAAAATTTTATTGATAATTATTCTTTGTTTGGACATCTTTCATTACACAAACGTTTTATTAGAATCTGTTAAGATTGGAGTTTAAAACCCTAGATGGGAGCACATTTAATTTTTCTTTAAACCACATTACTAATAATAGATGCTTAGGCCCTGATAAGTTGTAGTGTACAAAATGTTATTGGTTATTAAGTGTGGACAAATAGGCATTCTATTTACTGACCATAGAATATGTGATTTCCTTTCCTCCGATAATTGATTTCGACTCCGGACTCAATGAAAGTGACTATTTGTGATTGTGTAGAATAAAGCAATGTCTAGTGTTACTCTGCTTTTCCCTTTTTGATCCTCAATCAGGTATCTGATATAATTTTATATAGTCGTATAGTGTATCGTTCGAGTATCTAATCTAGCAGTATTGTAAACCCGGTCCAGCCTTATTATCATATTATCGTAGTACACTACTGAGCGAAAAATATTTACATTCAATCTACTAAATCAGGGCCATATGAAATAGTTAAGTAGTCACTCAGATTTCATTGTTTTCTTATTGGTGTTGATAGCCAGCGAGTTGAGCTTATTCTTTTCGGTTAATATTAAAACTGTAAAAATCGGTAATAAGACTTTCTGAAAACTATGTTATGGTTCTGTGATTGAAGTGACTCGTGCAATTTTGACAAATTCACGAGACATGTTCTCTTAGACCAACAGTTCGTGCTCACTTTCTTTTGCGCACATGGCAAAATCTCATTCAAACATAGTGCATCCAATGTGTGGTCATTCAAACTAATGGTCACACGACAACTTGATTGACAAAATTGATTAGGACTAAGAACTGAGCCAATATGATATTGTTTAAGATTTCAATTCACCAATACAATTGTAATCAGCATTCCCATTAAAGATGAAATTAGAATATAATCTGTTCAGGGTTGTATTCATCTTCAAATTGTTGGGAGTGATTGTACATCAGACTACAAATTCAAATCAACTAAGCTCGAAATTGCTCCTTTATTCAAGCAATGATAAGCTAAATTTTATTTTCCTATTACTGAGAGAATTGTCCTTCATACCCAGTAATGGATCGAAATCCGTAATTCAATCAAAAATGCAAAATTTTTCATCCCATGTTCACTTTATCAGTAAATTCCCGAGAATCTGTAAAATTTGTCACAATCTGTGCGCAAGACTAATTCACTACCATTGCATGTACTATGTATATCGAAAATTTCCTCTCTTCTGCCATTGTCTTGGAGATGCTTACACCAATGCTTATTATCGTAGTTTACTTGGGAGATTATAATAGCACTAAATGTGCAAGCACTCTAATAAATGAACCTACTGAAAAATGGCCCTTTTTTAAGTCTTTACTTCCTTACAAGCATATGTGACAAATCGTTCATATTATACCCTATTGAATACAAACATTAATTATACTGTTTGCTACATTATTGTAAGAGTGTATACAGAATAGCAGTCTAGTTTAGAAAATCTTCACTAAAAACCGATTGATAAAATAGATGTAAAGGGTAGTTTATTACTGTGACTTTTCTTACTCTTTGTTTTCATTTTCTTCAGTTTTGGATGCTAACACGAACTTTGTGACTTGACTGAAGCCATCTAACATTACAATACATAATTTATTGACCTTCACAAAGATGGCATCAGGAAATAATGAACACGGAATTGTCGTAAAACACCAAGTTATATTCTATTAAATAAACTTTAGTGTAACTTCCATAACAAAAGTATGGCATCTATCGTTCTGAAACGCAGTACACTGTATTTGTGCTACTTCTCTACACAGGTTTTTCATACACTATTTATTAAGAATAACTCCATGGTTAAAATATTTATAGTTATTACGTCATGTATTCCGAAAATAATGTTGTACTTTAACATGATGTCACTTCTGACCAAAGATGTTTCTCATGATAACAAAGGAGGCCCAAGTGGAATTCCCATTTAAATATCAGCTGATAGTTTACTAAATAAACTAATTTTAGAAGATTACTGGAAAAAATAAACTAGAAATAACATTTACAAGTTCATTTTATAAATCAGAAAAAGCCGTGCGAAAACAAAAATCATTAAGATGAATAGTTAGCTAAAAAAAAAGTAACTGACGGTTAAACACAACACCTAATCATTCTACATTTTAAAATTAACTTACCAAGCAACCTACATATCTTAAAGATATCCATATCTTATGAAGTTGGTTGTACGGTGGCAGCAGTACGATGAGAGTTCAAAATTAGTTGTGTTATTACAAGCAATACTGGAAATCATAATAATGGAAGTAGAGAATACATGTTGAGTCACGTAAATTAATTAAATTTCACCACTGCTAAATAAATAGACATCACATTGTAATTCAGTTTGCAGTGGTTTGAATTATTCCATTGTTGATGTTCCTAACTGAAATTTTGATCAGTATTAGTTAGTGTGTGCACATTCTATAACGAGTCAGAAATTGGACGAAATGCGCGTCTTACATTCAATTGCTAGTTATATTCCATCTCTTATAGAATGCATTACACTGATTACTGCTAAGTGATCAATCAGTAAAGAAAACGGGTTTTTATTTAATCAACCAATAAGATATCTCTCATAAAAGTACGATATTTTCAGGGGCTTGGAGTGGATAAATTTTAGTAAGTGGAATTTCACTTTTGTGTATCCATAAGAAACAATTATTAATCACGATTTCCTCCCGCAACTGTAACGTACCAATCACGTTCGAATACTTTCTCTCATTAATCTATTTTGGTAGTGGATGCTTTCACACGAATATAGGTTATTTGAACACAGTGACGAATTACAATTTTAGGAATTCAATAAGATAGGTTATTTATTAAATCAATGTATAAGGTTTACATGAAAAAACAGTAGTTTATACCAACAAATTAAAATATTAAGAAAAATATGTGTAAAAATGTATAGGAGGAAATTATTGAATTTGAAGTCATTGAGTGATGTGTATCAAAGAAATTGTGACAATATCAGATTGAATTCTTAGAGTTTGTTTTCTATCTCCATATTTACAATTCGCCTGCTATAACTAAATTTACATATCTTGCGGCTAATGATGGGTCCCATTCAACACTCTACAATATATGGAACAATAAGAAAATTATCAGGACACCAAAACAATTTCATTAAATTGCAACATAAAAAGTGTTATATCACTGTTTAAACTTAATAAACGAATGGTAACTTGTTTATTTTTACATAGAAGTCTTAAGTCCCATACTTGGAGCCTGGACGATAGCCTCAAGCTGAAAACTTTTGAGATGGTGGAGAAGATTTGTAGCTCAGGTGGATGATTTTGATGGAGTTTTGTTCTCTGAGCTGGAAATTCTCTAAAATCGGTTGTGGGTTCTCACAATCTCTGTTTTCCATTGAGTCTTAGTTTTAGCATCGTCTTTAACTCTTTATTTCTCAATCTCATTTGTTTTTTTAAAACTATATTTCTTGTGCTGAGATTTTTATTGCATTTTATGTTATTTCCCTTCCTATTCTATTCATCTTGTTAACCTCTGGTCATCTTGCCGTGGCAACGTGTACTGATACAAATCCATCCTCAGTTGTGTATTAACTGTAACTGGCTTACTTATTCTGATGTGAGACTAGTCAGAGTACGCTATGCAATTATTTTTTTCATTATGGTTTCAGATTAATTGAAATGTGCATAAAGTTTTATATTTTTGTGAATGATCAGTTTTTACTATCAAAGTTCAATTCATCACTTTATAATCTCTCAACTTGGTGATATAAGGTAATTGGAGGCAGCAATCGGTACTTGTTAAATGTTCTTTTACTATCATTCAATTCATTCATTATTATCGTATCATTCTACTTGGTGATACCAATTCATTAATTTGTTGCTATTTTTCCTTATATTTAGTCTGTAGCATCTTTCTAACCAGTAACATATTTACTATCAGAATTCTATGAATCGAAGTAGTATATTGTCATAAATATTACCGTCACATTACTCTAATATTGCAAACACCTATCACCAAAATCTTTCGAATAAATATTTTAGAAAACCAAATAATCTGATTAGATATCTGAAACTTGGTTGGCTGTAATATACTTTCGAGTTTGATAATAAGAACTAGAGACGTCGTTGGAACGAAGGAATATCTTTATACTATTTTATGTCCTAAATGAACACTTTAAACATTTTTCTGATGAAAAGCATTTAGGAGACGTTAGGAAATCAAATGAAACAAAATGCAATGAATTTATTCTTTAAAACGTCTAACTATTGGCCTATTGGTGAAGAAGAACTGAAGTTATAACAATAGCTTGATAAGACAATCACAGTTAAATAAGCAAATCAACTGTATGAATGTAAAACAATCTATGAAATAAATATACAAACCTTAGAGAATAGCTGGTCAGCTAATAATTCATCTTTTTGTACACCTTTACCACTTTTTAAGCATAATGCATAAAGAAAACATGCCATTGACATAGCTCGATATTGAAATGTTTGTATACATTCTGATGTTGTCACAAAATTATCACAAGTTACCATTCTGTAGTTAAAGAGTAAACAAAGACATATTTACAAAATAATCAAATTAAGTTTGTAAAGATAATGTATGTTTATGAATTACTTGGAATTGGTAAAATATTCAAATGAATTAGAAGATAATTTTCGTGTATTTCCATCGTAGCAATTCTTATGATATTAAAGTTACTCATGTAATTTTTCAGTTCATGGTAAAGAACAGTGAATAAAGGCATTTGTGTTAGGTAAATAATTGTTCTTTGCGTTTCGACGAAACTCTTGTGAAACAGCAACGTGAAATTATATTCGGGTAAATAACAACTGAGTCGGATTATTGGATCAAAAACAACATTCAGTTCTCGAATACGAAGTCATCCTTCAGTGTGTTTATTTATCTACTAATGTAACCTATTTTACTTAAAACAGTTTTCATATTGTAATCAAGTATGATATTTGTTGATGATAACCGATTCCATAGTTGATAGTTGTTATATTTCTCTCTTACAGTTATAACTCAGCTTTTCCTATTGCTTGGTATTCTTGGACACTAAATCAGAACACGGTTGAACAGGAAAGAGATTATATTCCAAATAACAAGGTTAGATGGAAGTAAGAAGCAAGTAAGTAGTGCAATAGGGAAAACGCTAGTATATTTGTAGTTCTTCACATGAGATTTCTAGTGTTCACTAAGTATTGACTAACGCTGATTGGATAAGAATTAACCAATCAGCGTGCACAAAAGCAATCGTGCATTGAGCATGCTTTAATCCAGTCTATGTCCCGCTAACAATAGTAATAGTAAGAAATTATCCATAACTTTTCTCCGCCATCAACGAAACTTATTTTTCTGCTAAATATTAGAATGATTTTCATCAAGATTTTATAATGATCATATAAACACAACCAGAAATTACTTAATAGTATTTCTAGTTTGATTGTGTTGATTCTAAGTAGTCTTCACTCATAAAAATCTTCACATTAAAACTAGAAACGTGAGATAGTCTTACACGCGATACCGATGTTCAGCCTGCAGATAAGTGTAGCGAATTCGAGTTAGAACTTATTACTTTTGTATCATAACAGTTTTCATAATAAATTAATAAAAGTCAAGAGACCGAGTCGTAATTCACATTATGTCATCAATCGATTGAGATAGTGAATTTCAACTAATCCAATTCAGAAGACTTGATGGACATGTGTTATATTTTAACAAGTGCTTTAGATATTTACTGTTAGATGTGCAGATAATGCATTTAATGAATATGTGTTCTATGGTATAGTATAGTATATTAAATTGGTTTCTCACACTTGAATTCTCGTTCATTACGATTACAGTTCCATCGAATAGTTTCAGTTAATTTAAACAACAAACGAGTACAATGAAGAAAATCCTTTGTAAATATGTCGTTATAGCCGAATATATGCGTTTAATAAGGAAGAGAATGCTGAAATGGAATACAATACTATGAATTAATAAAATAAGCATTCAATGTACTGAAACACCATTCGTTAGTGAAAGTCCGATGATAAAAGTTGTACATTTTAAAGGTATTAATATGTTCCATTGTTGTTAAAAACGAAAGTAATCAACTGTATTGATATTTAGAATATAGAATGATTTAGATAAAAGTAGGAACTATCAGTCGAAAGCGAAATATTCATCTGTTGTTTGTTGTTTTGCTTCTTTTTTAGCTTCATTTTAGTCTCGTCTCCGATTGACAAAGAATATCCGTCTATATGTAATTAAGATAGACTAGTATCATTACAGACTTCTTATTACCAAATCAGAACACTCGGCTATAGACTCATAACACAAACCTATCCAGACAAAATACTCAATTAAATTAAAGATTGTTCGTTTAGATTAGATGATACGGGTAATATATTTTGACAATTAAAATTATATATATATATTACCTGCTAGCCAAGTAACATACATTCGTAAACATTTTCCGTCGATAGTAAAAGTAAATTAAATTTGCTTTAGCATATAAACTGCCTCTGGCTGAAGCTTCAGATAAACAGAATAAAGCATTATCACAATTTTCTTCCACACCTATTCCATATAAATACATTACACCTAATACGGCTAAATAACAAAGGTAAATAAAAAAAATAAGAGCAGGATAATACATAGTAGATGCTACCTTAAGACATTTTACTTTAATTTTTTTGTGATGAAGTAAAAGAAGAAATGAAAATACTTCAAACAAATTATTTAATAAACTTACTCGTATTTGAAACTTATAATGGGGCGGAACACGTGAGAATGTATATACTACATTTCATCACTGAACAAAGTAGTAATCTTGACCTTAAAAAGAGGTGAAATCCGATGTACACAACTCCATGAATACTCTAAGCATTTCTGAGCTGTTTGTCTACGCAGTCGCAATCATAAGCAAGCACGGTATAATGATTTTTCAACCAACTAACGTGGATTTACGTATGAAAGTAGCGTGTTTAGGAAACCATTTTTCAGGAACGATGAGAGATCTTATGCAGATATGCAAATATTTGAATGACTCAAAGTTCTAGATTAAGTTTGACTAATAATTTCAGAGCAAGACTAATGGTTCGTACCGATTTTGTGGAGAATTCTGTCAGTTCATTAAAACGTTAAAACAACTAGCTCATACATATGCATCATAGAGAAAGATTCTGAATACTTTTGTTATTTACATAAATTGAACATTGACAAACCATCATTGTTCAACGTTCTACTCATTGGGATGCCAAAAATATATTTATTATTAACTTTCAACCCAATGCTCAACTTATTTAAAATTATCAATTTCAACCTTGGCATCAATACCCATGGGGTGATGAACAATTCAGTTTCTAGAGTGGTGCTAAGAACAGTAGGTTTTGCAACACTATATCCAAAGAAGGCTCGTACCAACTGAATCGAACTTCCGTCAGTATTATACGCGATTTACAGTCAGCATTAAAGTGATTATGCACGTCACCATGTTTAGATGAAGTATATTTCTATATCAATTATTCAGAAAAAAACTTGTTTTACCTGCAATTAGTTTATTAATCACTTGAAAATCTAAGACGTACGCTATCAACACAATGTATGGATCATTTTCTATTCATAAGCTAACATATCACTTTACAGGTAGTTGAACTTCAATCAAAGAGACTAAATGACAAAAAGCTTTCTGCAAGACTTGAATTTCTAGATTCAATCAACCATGAGATTGACAATATACAGTGCTGATATCTTCGTAAATAAGATGAGCTATTCTGCTAAGTCCGAGGTTTTAGTTGTTTTCCAACTTGCGGTTTAAGAAAGTTTGTCTAAAGACTTCCGTATCGCGTGTGAGGCAGATACCCAACGAAGACAGTAGAAAATGGTCGCGCAAAATCGAAGAACAGTTGAAGTTAGATACTAACATTTTTGGATGTCGGCTCAGAGGTCTATAGGTTAAGCGTTCGTGCGTGAGACCGAAGGTCCTGAGTTCCGCGTGTGGGATTGTGAATACACACTGTCGCGGAGTTACATACTACGACGGGACGGCCATTCAGTGGTTGCAAGTTTTCAATGGTGGTCTAGCATTGATCGATTCATGATCTCAATTAAAACTTTGTAAGTAATTTAATACCAGTAAAATATTTTCATGAAATTTATTGAAAGTTGTTTCTTTACAAGTATTTCAATAAAGTTTCTTTGGCAAACTACCACCGCCATTTTCATATAATCGCAATGAATATTTCATGTTTTCAGTGTACTTTGATTTCTAATTAAGATTATTTAAAATCAAGCTATGGATTAGTACTTTATTTCCTATACTATATATGCTAAGGTATATGATCCAACAAATAAACGTTGCTAACTGATATATTTTAATTTGAAAAGATATCCGGTAAGTAATAATCCGTAAGTAATAATCCTACTAGATAAATGAATATACAATGGATTAAAACTATATTATTATTATTACTATTGTTAATGGCTTTATTCAATATTATATTTTGGTACACTATAGAATTCTTAGCATAAGGTATTTCAACAAGTTTCTTTTACAAAAAAACAAAAAATAAAGAAAGAAACATGTACAACTGTACAACTTTTCAAATTAGAGACATGTTAAGAATGCAGGTTATTGACTAGGTTAACTAACAACCTGTTCGTCACGGACTATATTTGCTAGGTAAGGTATTATAGAACTTTTATACTTTTGCTTGCGTGCATGGATTTTAATGTAATTACGTCTCGTTCTGCCAGAAGATATACAAAGAGAAAGATAAGAGTGAAGGGGATGGCTAGTATCTGATAAAATAACACCTGCCAGGAGTTTGCATGATTTTAAATGTCAATCCACAACCATATTAATTCAAAGAGGAAAATTCTTGTAAGGACTGATAAAGTTAGATATAAAACCTGTGATAATGGGAAGATTGAACTATCGCAGTACACCAGAACACATCTAGATATCCAAACAAATATTCACTCATAGGACTTATAGTGAACGATCCTTTGTGATTAACATATGATGCGGTCAATCAACCATGATTTT